GTATTGAAGATAATATCAAATCAATATTATCTTGATTGATATTATCTTTATTTGATTTTTATATTTACCTTAATCACTTTGATTTAATTTGATTCACAATATATTTACATTTTCTATCAATGTAATTTCCCTATAAATAGGGACATATGCTTTGTATTCATCAATCAATTCAATCAATAAAGATGTAGCCATTATTGAATCTCTTGCTCTCTTTCTCTTCTCCATCTTCTTCTTTCTACATTGTATTTCGTTATTTATCAGAAATTATGCTCAAGCCACTCGATGCTTTATGATTCACCATATGTCATGCTGGTGAAAAGTTGCTTCATTGATGAAAGCCTATTTAAGAACAAGAGCAGCCCATTCAGAATGACTCGGCATGTTAATGTTATTTTTCTCTATCTAGTTTTCTTCCGCCAACTAAATGCTGTTTGTACGTGTCTTGAAAGAATGAAGATTTGATACTATTTGTTTTTACTGCACTATTACCAGAAGCATAGATTTTTTTTTGGAGAACGTGTGGTAAAAAGTGGGGAAAAGTTGTGAGTCTTGTTGATTCCAAAAAATGTTGTCAATAGATGCCGGGCCCACTCTTGCCACGTCAAGCAATAATCTGGCACACGTTCCTACCGGAACAAGAGCGGTAGCGTAGTTGGAAAGAGCGCGGGAGTTGCTTTCCGGCAAGAGACACAACTGTTCAAGCTCCGGCAATTTTCTTTAAACAGCCTTTGCACTATCAACAAGGGCCGGATCGATTTTCTTCAAATGAGTATCCGTTTTGTTATGGAATATGTGGAAGGATAGATATAATAAAATGGTGTTTCACGTGGGAATCTTGATATATTTGTTATTGTGTTTGCAAAATATGTAAAGAACAAAGTATATAAATCTTCTTCAATCTGTGTCTTTCACGAGAATGAAGGTATTTTGTGTTTAATTGTCTGATTTTCAAAGATCCAACCCTTAAATCTATACAAATGAAGACTATTTATACTGTCTAAACGACGTATTAACCGTCGGATCAGATTCACGTGGCAACATCTTCTAAACTGAACTCTCACATCACATTTAATATTTGATAGAAGTCAGCCGCACTAGGAATAGGCTGTCATTACCATGGAAGAGTTACTGACACCTTTACAACAGACGTCCCATCAATCGATTCAAAGAAATCCTCGAATCTATTGAGGTGATGCTGGCTTATGGGTTCTGAATGACCTTGTAGCAGCCTCGGATCGGGTTGTGTTTTGAGTGAGCGCATTAGTCCGAGGTCGTTCATATGGAACCTTCAACACGAGGCTCCTTGGAATGAAGTTCATGCTATCTTCAGGGGAGCCTTCATATCATGTTCGTGGCACATGACTTCGGCCTAATGCCTTACTGGGGTTTTTGACATCTTGGGCCCCCTTTTGACTTTCCGTTGACCGCCCTGCCTACGTGGCCTTGCTCCTTTAAACCCTGGAATTGGGGGGTAACAAGTCTCATAGAATGTGGTGTTTAAAATGATTTTAAAATAATCTTTTACAAACAAGCCTTTAAATGGAAGAACTTCATGTGTGATTTACATTTTTTATTTTCTTTGAGAATGGGCTGAGGGGTCAGAAAATGAGAATGACAAGTCACTTGATCACGATATTTTTATCTTCAAGCTGAAGATTGAGCTTCATATGGGCTTGAATCTTTTTGTGAATTATTTTGCAGGGCAGGGACTTGAGATTCTGCCAGAAGTGTTCTCGCTATAAACCTCCGCGAGCCAATCATTGCCGTATATGTAATAGATGTGTCTTGAGAATGGTATGCTTGATTTAAGTTACTGTTCACTTTTTTTCTCTAATCTCCTCAGTAATATGTTGAAGTTCTGCCTCTTGATGTAAGGATCACCATTGCGTGTGGATGAATAATTGTGTAGGCCATGCAAACTACAAGGTCTTCTTTGTTTTCATTGTTTATGCAGTTGTGTAGCATGAATGTACTCCCTGGTATGCTTTTACCTCCCTCTGTTCATATTTTAATTCCATTTCTTACGGGCCTTGTCCCTTCCATGTTTGGTTATTTTAGCTTGAAGTATAATTGGAAATCACACAGACGATCTTTTTCGTAAGAAAATTTTAAAACAACGAAACAACTTTTTTATTTAAACTGGGTGCTTCTGTAATTTCAGGTTTTGCTTATTGGTAGTCTAACTGCTCATTCTGAGGATGATACAGAAGACTCTTTCAGAACTGTATATGTAATTTCTCCTGAAATTTGCGATGATATCCTTTTTCTATCGTTTTGTCACTAAACAATTTCATGTCCCAGGTGATTTCAGGGTTACTGTTAGTCCCATTAAGCTTGGCATTGGGTTTTTTCGTGGGTTGGCATATTTATCTTATTTTAAAGAACAAGACTACAATTGAGGTTTGTTACATTGACCTCGGTCTCTTGGTGATGGACAATAAAATAGTTTCAACTTTCAAGTGAATTGACTTCTTGTTCTCCAATCTGACAGTATCGTGAAGGTGTAAGAGCTGTGTGGATTGCCGAAAAAGGAGGGCTTCTCTATTCACATCCTTGTGATATCGGCGCATACGAGAATTTGATATCCGTAAGTTCTCTCTATTTCCAATGATTTTGTGTTCACTAGGTTTTCCTGATAATCTTCAGAAAAATTTATAAAGCCTTAGTATGGCATATAATTTGGTTGACAAAGTTCTGTGAGGATATGGATTTTTGACAACACGTAATTAATTCTTCCTAGATGAGGTGGGTTCAATCTACGACGTGATTCAAACGGATGTCATTTCTTGAATGTGTTTATGTTGAACTTCGAAATCTACTCTGTTGCTTGACTTTATTTTGCTTGATGCTACAGATTCTTGGTCCCAATTTTCTTTTCTGGGTTTGCCCCACGTCACGACATGTTGATTCTGGCATTCACTTTCGGACAAAATATGATATACTTGTTGGAACATTGGCTGAGGAGTAAATCTGTTTTTTCTTTGTCCTGACCTGTACACTAAAATGTCAAAAGCTTTAGCTGTAGTTTATAGAAAAATATATATTTTGTTAAATTTTTCTTTACTGGTCAAGTATTTCGAATCTGAGGTGGAGGACTGGCACAACGGACATTTACGACCCATGAACAACCTAATTGAAGCCTGAAGGGGTCTTGAGCTTTAGGTTTAAGTTTGTGATTCTGAGTGAGTTTGGTTTCATTTCTCTCCTTTCCTGTCAGCTTGTGTCATGTGAGAGCTGGAGTCGCAAGGATTTTTCTTAAGAATCCTGGCGAGATGGGTTCTTCATAAAAAAAAAAATTGTGTTGTTCAAGTTACTAACATACTCATGTACAAAAAAGAAATAGGATCCTCAGCCTCTGTAAGCTTGTAACTTTCAGAAATTATCAGCAGCCAGTGGGCAGGAGATCACTTTCAAATTATCAATGCTATACTGTGGTGTTATATTTTCCTTTCCATTACATGTATAATAACATTGTTGGATTGGTTGATAAGCGAGTGCTCTAATTATACTACTAATCATTCATGTTTTATGCTGCTTACCAAACATACACCATAAGGACTTGAGTCACGGATAAAATGTAAAATAAAAGATAAAGAGTCAAAAAAAGGAACCGTGTTCCTTGTTCTCACCCGACTTCCCAACACGGTGGAAAAAAATGTCTGGTTTTTTTTTTTTTTTTTTAATCATCATCAAAATAGGATCGGACATGTTAGGTTTCATTGAAGGGCAATTATATTGACATCACAAATTTTTTTTTTTTTGTACATTACTTTTCAATTGAACTAAAAGTTCTCAACCTTTGTTCATTGTTAAATTTATGTCCTCAAATTTTTTCATCCTTGCATTTTTATCATCAATATTTTTTTAATTAGCATATTAAGGGCCTGTCTGTTTCTGCTTTTCAGCAAAATTCAAGCCGTTGCCAGCAAAATTCAAGTCATTGCCAGCCGCAAATTTGGACTAATTCTCTCACAATGGGGCTGTTGCTTTGAAAAAAAAGGGTAAAATAATCAATTGTTTGGTAAAAAAAGATCGCGCCCAGACAACCCCTAAATCTTTAATCATTGTTTCCCTCTAAAAAGCTCATTAGGAATATTTACTCATTACTAAAATAAGCGAAAAATATAAAAGTACAATATAATATTTGTCTTTAATTTTAAATTGTGCTAGTAGAATATTTGAACGTATACTACTGTTGGATGTGCTAATTATTGAAAGATTGTTGATAAAAATGCGACAAAAAAGGTGGCAATATAAGTATGAAAATATACAAAAATTGAAAATCTCTACTGCAATTAAATTAAGTTTTAAGTATGATAATTGCGATTTTTTCATTAAAATAAGTCTCTTATTGGACTGGGCCACAGACCCTAACCACTTTTATTAAGCCCACTAACATGGGTCAAATTCAAACAGGTTTCTTTGATACTGTTAAGCGAAGTGTGCGGCTTATCCATAGACAACAGAACAATCACTTCAATTACCAAAGTACCCTCAATTAGAACCTCCGACATTTTCATTCTACAGGCTAAATTTGTAAATTCAACTTCATCTCCCCTCCGAAGATTTGTATCTAACTACGTGTACTTGCAGAGGTTCACTATGCATATTCTGTAGCAACTTTTTTATTGAAGGATTTTGACTATTGTATTAGGGTTTTTATTATTAATTCATGTTCGAATTTTCCAACAAATGATGTTGTCACGAATAGGGCGATCTGTTTATCGCTCCTCTCGCTCTTCAATCAATAAAGTGAGCTAGTAATTCTTCACTTCCATTATCTTTGAATACTTTTTTTTTTTTTTTTGGAAATTTCTGGATTGATTTTTGTTGGTTTCTTCTTGTGGTGCAGTCGCAGAATGTTGTGTCGGGTACATATGGAGTGAGATCGGCGATTTCAAACGAATTTGTTTTGGATAATGGGTACATTGCACGCGGGGAAAGGGTGCTTGGTTTTGTGAGGAGCTATTTGACATCGGTTGAAGCTAATAAAAATGTTGTGAATGGTGGAGTTTGGAAGAGATTCAACTCAATTTTGGCAAACCCGAGGCTTAGGAGGCTGTTTTCTAGTGAAGCACCGAAGAAAGGAAGTAAGGAAAATTATCCATTTTATTGGCTCGCATTGTGTCTTGTATATATATTTATTTTTTATTTCTGTTTTTGTATTTTTACTGTTCTGAAGTACTGTTGATGTTTTATTGTGTTAATTTGGTTTATTCAGAATATGAGAATTATTACCCAAGGAACAAGAAAGAAATCCCGAAGGGGAACAATCAGAGGTCGGAAAGTAAAGGTGCGATGCCTTACTATTTTGTGCAATGATTATATCCTGTTATTGTTGTTGTTGTTGTTGTTCTAGAGCTGTGTATTAATGTGCGTGTAAATGATAAGTTGCGACATTTTGGACTGTCAAGAAAAATGGAAAAGGAATTCAGTAAGAAGAGAAGACCTGCTTGACGTGTCCCATAATTTATCTTCAGTTTTCCTCCCCATGTGTTTAATAATTTGTATGTCCCTGCTATTGCTATTGGGTGTTGTCTTTCTCTACTAAGCAGTTTATTTTATGAGAAATCTCTTTTAAGTTTTTCTAAATGCACGATTTTATGTGTTTTCAGAGGACTCAAACATGGGTGAACAAGGAAACGACCTGAATGTCTCAAGGCATTTCCAAAATTTCCTTACACCTTTGATTTTGATTGGATTTGCGTTTTCATTGATATCTTTGAATCCACGAGACCAGAAGCAGGTCTGTTCCTTATCTAAACTTTCTTCATGCATTAAACAGAAACCTGGCGACACTCTTCTTAATTTTTACTGAAAACAGAATCCCCTGTTCCCCTTTATAGATGAAGCCTGACTAATGTGAGATGTTGTTATGTTACATAGTTATGTAACTTACTGAAAATTTGGAAGGACTAATATGTATTTTTACCCTCTCTGTCAAATTATATCAGCCAGATTTGTTGCTCTATATGACAGGCTCCCATTTACCATTAAAAAGAAAAAGAATGAAGTCATGGTTTAAGACATTTGGTTTTGTTACAACCAATTGATTTTTTTGATAATACTTATGTTATTTACGGATCAAGTTCACATTCTTCTTTCACCACCTGTAACATGGACTTTGTCCCATCACTGATTGTTAGGAGCTATCATAGGCAAAAGTAATGGCACCTTTTTAGTTGGTTTGCTTGTCAAAGAAGGATATGACATAGGTATTTAAAAACATGATAATATTCTTTGTACTTCCTCCTAATGTTCTCATGATTGGTGTTACAAGTTCCTCTGATAGGTTTACTTCGTATATAGTGCTCCAATCATCATCCATATTAACGACCTGTATCGTGTGAGCCTTTGGTGTCTTTTGTTCTATTCATTGCCAATCTGCTTTTGCATAAATCTAGCTGAGCCTTTTTTATTAAATATAAATCCCCAATCCTATGGTTTTGCTGCTATGTATGTGTCCTACTGTCCTAAGATAATTAGGGGTTCTTATTCGAAACTTGTGCTTTTTGCGTCTTCCTCTTGTCTTGTTTTCTTAATCAATGACTAATATACTAGTATAATGTGCAGATAAGTTTCCAAGAGTTCAAGAACAAGCTACTTGAACCTGGTCTTGTGGATCATATCGTTATTTCTAACAAATCTGTGGCAAAAGTTTATGTGAAGAGTTCACCCCCTAATAACAATCAAACAAGCATTGATACCGTCCGAGGTCCTATTGGTGATGCCAACGGTAGAAAAGATGTGAGCCACTATAAATTCTACTTCACTATTGGAAGTGTTGATTCCTTTGAGGAGAAGCTGGAGGAAGCCCAGGAAGTGTTAGGAATAGATCCTCATAATTATGTCCCTGTGACATATGCTTCCGAGATAAATTTGTTCCAAGAATTCATGAAATTTGGTCCAACAATCTTGCTTCTAGGAATCCTTGTATTCATGGGACGTCAAATGCAAACTGGGTTAGGTGTTGGAGGTCCTGGTGGGAAGGGTGCACGTGGAATATTCAATATTGGAAAAGCACAAGTCATGAAAATGGATAAAAATTCCAAGAATAAGGTCCGCACATTTTGTTGGTTTTATTCACTTAAAGTGATGGCTTTAGCTTTCTACCAATATCATCGTTTGAATTTTGTTCATACTTGGTATTAAATTAATCATTTTATGTTTACATGGTGTTCTAGGTTTTCTTTAAAGATGTTGCTGGTTGTGATGAGGCAAAACAAGAAATAATGGAGTTCGTGCACTTTCTGAAAAACCCTAAAAAGTACGAGGAGCTGGGAGCCAAAATTCCAAAAGGTGCCCTTCTTGTAGGTCCTCCAGGAACCGGAAAGACACTACTTGCCAAGGCAACAGCTGGAGAGTCTGACGTGCCTTTTCTTTCCATTTCTGGGTCAGATTAGTACCTTTACAAACAACCTCAACCGCCAGCCAGGGTTCGGAGCTTATTTCAAGAAGCAAGACAATGTGCACCAAGTATAATTTTTATTGATGAAATCGATGCAATCGGTCGAGCAAGAGGCCGTGGGGGATTTTCTGGAGGTAATGATGAGCGCGAAAGCACCTTGAATCAGTTGCTTGTGGAAATGGATGGATTTGGAACCACTTCTGGTGTTGTTGTACTTGCTGGCACAAATCGACCTGATATATTGGATAACGCTTTGTTAAGACCTGGTCGGTTTGATCGTCAGATTACAATTGATAAGCCTGATATTAGAGGTCGTGAGCAGATATTTCGCATCTATCTTGATAAGCTGAAACTTGAGCAAAAGCCATCATATTACTCCGAGAGGCTTGCTGCTCTGACTCCTGGATTTGCTGGAGCAGACATTGCTAATGTCTGTAATGAAGCAGCATTAATTGCTGCAAGGAGTGAGGATACATTAATTTCAACTGAACATTTTGAGTCCGCTATTGACCGTGTGATTGGAGGTCTTGAAAAGAAGAACAAGGTATCCCACTTCTCTACCTGCTTAATATTTTTCTTACTTTCCTTTTTTTTATTTATTTCTTTTTTTTTTCCTTATATTGACTAGAATATGGTATTTGCCCTTTCATTTTTTCAAGCTTAGACACTTGATTTGTGGTTGTATAGCCAGTATAAGTTAGTTGATTAATCCAGAGTTTATTTTATTTTATTTTTTTTTAATTTTTAAATTAGCAAACTGATAACCAGAGTAATCAGACATTATCTCCGTGTCACATACCTTCTTTTGTGAATACGTGTTGAGGGACGTTGAACTTTGTGAACTGAATTGTTACTACTAAGGTTCTGCTGCTTCTGTATCTATCGACTTTCTTCAAATTGGTTTTCATCAATTTTATTGAGTGCCTGATTTTCACAGAGAGGATATGGAATTTTGGATGGGGAGGATGAAGATATGACATTAATATGATACTAGCATGTAAGGGATCACTTCTCTTTTTTGTCCTGACAAATAAAAATTAATTTTTTATTTGAAAAATGTATACTTCTTACTGATGAATGTCGTGGCTTAGAATGGAATTTATTTAATGTGATAATTGGGCTTCCTACTTAATTTTCTAGTATTTTACTCTCTAGACTTGTGCAGCCTGTGCTATAGTGTGTAAAAGTGAACTTACGAAATTAGAACATGGCTAGCTGCCTCGGCTCTGTGGTAGTTGTCTGTTTGCCCTTCATTTATCCATGTCTTTTCTCTTAACATTACTGGATTATAAATTTCATTTGTTATGTTATAGGCAAATTATTATATATTTTACATGGGAGTATGATATACTGAAATAGTCCAGTACGGTTGATGGTTTTAATGTTTATTGTTTACTTGATGAACATGAAACCATTCTTTCTTGCAGGTTATAAGCAAGATGGAGCGAAGAACTGTTGCTTACCATGAATCTGGTCATGCTGTTTCTGGTTGGTTTTTGGAACATGCTGAACCATTGCTTAAAGTTTCGATTGTCCCTCGTGGCACTGCAGCCCTTGGTTTTGCTCAGTATGTTCCAAATGAAAATCTTCTGATGACGAAAGAGCAGCTGTTTGATATGACATGCATGACTCTTGGTGGTCGAGCAGCTGAGCAGGTAAGTTCAATTCTTCCTCTATCTATTCGTTGTAATGATCAAGTTGCGAGTTATTTAATTAGAACTTTGTTGATAATTTGGCATATACACACACAGGAGTATTGTGTGTGCATTTCTTTATTTTTATTTTTATTTTTTGTAATATTATGCATGTCCAAAATCAATTACTTGGTTTTGGGTGATGGTAAAGCTCTCAAAGAAGCCAACACTTTAGAGGGACTCTACGAATACTTTGATTTCAAGTCTTGGACCATCAAAATCCATCATTCCGCAGCTTATTTAAATGGAAGTGCTTGTGCAAAAGCAATCTGTTGTGCTAAAACTGTTACTGCATGGAAATGTTTAACATCATGCCTAACTGACATGTTTGCCCACAACATGAACTCCTTTGCATTGCGAAATCCATCTGATATCATTTTCATGATTGGATTTCGTGGTTAAGGTCCTTCCAAGTCCAACGTCTTCTTTTTAAGTTTTTAACATGTCCATGTGAAAAGTTTCTACATCGAATTGAGGGCTGGGATTGACGATGCTTCCATGGAATGTCTATATTGTTACCTGGGAGGGCTTTAATAAATGTTACTGATATTATTGATTAGTATTGCAATACTTCCTATAGAGATCATGCCTTTACTAATAGTCAGTGGGCACGTCATATAAAATTTTCTTTTGGTGTAGGTTTTGCTTGGGAAGATCTCAACAGGAGCCCAAAATGATTTGGAGAAGGTCACCAAGATGACGTATGCCCAAGTGGCCATTTATGGCTTCAGCGACAAAGTTGGTCTTCTTTCTTTTCCTCCAAGGGATGATGCCTTTGAGATGAGCAAGCCCTACAGCAACCAGACGGCTGCAATTATTGATTGTGAAGTAAGAGAATTGGTGGCAAAAGCATATGATCGGACAGTGCAACTGATAGAGGAACATAAAGATCATATTGCTCAAATTGCTGAACTACTACTAAAGAAGGAGGTCTTGCATCAAGAAGATTTGGTCCAAGTACTAGGTGAGCGCCCGTTTAAGAGTAGTGAGCCAACTAATTATGATAGATTCAAGAAAGGGTTTGAAGAAGATAAAGCAACTAAAAACAGTTCAGAAGGTAAAACTACCGATGGATCATCATCTCTTGAACCAGATATCGTTCCAGCGTGATAATGTCAGTCCAACACGAAAGATCTACTTTAAAGAGGTCGACTTACAACTTTAAATATCTACTTGTTTCTCTTGTACATGTGAGTCAACGTGGGAATCGACTTTCTTCTTAGTCCAATGCAAGGAGGTATTGAAATGGAGCACGCAAGATTTGGGCCCTTTTTGACGTGGCAATGTATCTAAACCTAGTCATCGCTTCTACAAATTAGTGGTATATATTAAAAGAAGAGAAAATTACCTGAAACCCTTCTTTTCAAAATTAAAATTCAAAATTAAGGGAATGAAGTTTACATTTCAAAATTCAGGTGGTAATTATATTTTATAATTATAATTATTTAAAAATTTTAATATTAATATTACAATTAATCAAATTCACCCAATAATCTAATCATTTTTTCCATATCTTCTCTCTACCCTCTCCCTTCTCTCATCCGTCTTTCCCTTCTCTCTCAACAGTAATGGCGCCGCTTTGCACACCGGTGCCACCACCTGCGTCGTGGCTCGATGCTCAAGACGACACCATCGCCTCCTCGCCTTCGGCTACTCTGTCTATGGTGCAGTGGTCTCTTCCTCAACAATAGTAGCGTCGCCCTGAGCAGCTGCTTCACCACCAGACCCTACCATTGGTGTCGTGGCTCGACGCTCAAGACGCCACGGACTACTGTACCTGATTTTGTGTGCATCCACTTGTTGTCAATTTCGAGAGAGAAGATTACAGTTGTGATGTTTAATGACCGTGGGAATTAGCTGACATTCGAGTGTGCAAAGCTTGGGCAGTTGCTTATTTGGGAGTGGAAATCTGAAAGTTATATATTGAAGCAGCAGCTGCCAGCATGGGCATTATTTTGGTGTAAACTCCATTGTGTATTCGCCAGATTTACAGTATTTGGCCACCGGAGCAAATGATAATAAAAGCAATTTTAAATTTCCAGTTATGGAAACAAATTCAAAACGTACGTAAATGTTAAATCAATTTATTTCCATTTTTATGATTCATTTCAATGAGTAGTTTAAGCAATTCCACAACAATGGAGAGTAGAGATGAAGGAGATGGTGGACTTGAGGAGGTGGCTGTGATGACTTTTGATACATGAGGTTGTAGTGGTGCAGTGGTGGTGGCATGGCGGTAGGTTTGGGAATTTTTTAGGATGGTTGTGGTATGGTGGAGATGTGGATTTATGGAGGAGGTGGTGGTGGTGATTGTTGCCATGGCGATGATTTTGAGGTGATTTTTGTGTTGATTGGTTGGTGGTGGATTTATGGTGCTTCCGGTGACTATGATAGAGATAAATCATTCTTAAATGCATTCAGTTTTCGTGTTGGGACTCGAGATTTATGGATATGAAACAGTTTTAGATGCATTATAAGAATAGTGAAGCCACTACTGCTGCCAACCTTATTGAAAAGTTAACTATTGAAAGCAAGGATACAGAAGAGAAGCAAGAGACCAGAGAGGCATCCAAGAACTGCAAACCTTGTTTTTAAGGGTACATTACCCTAGGCTTAAAAAAAAAAAAAACAAAACAAAAATGACACTCTTTCAATTTCTAAATACATGCAGTGAAGGTAACAATATGATTTCATCAAATGCTAGGCCTTTTTGCTTTGACTTCTAAATACATAATTAAGTAACCTAGTTAAGCATATTAAAAAAAAAAAGTAACCTAGTTAAGAAAAAGGGGATTTCAGAATTCCGGCATTCCTTTCCATCTAAATTCATTAGGTTAATACCAAAAGCTCAAATTCCACAAAATCTTCATATTCAAACTTAATTTTGAATCAATTGATTTTTATGGAAAATAATGAAGATTGATTTTAGTGGCATCGTGGCCTCAGCCCCACTTTGTGCAATGAGATTTCGATCAAATATATGTCTATTGTGACTATTTGTGACAAATTGTGACTCGTTGTGACCAATTGTAACTTGAAATTCTGAAATTTTTTTGGAAATTGGGATGACTGATTGTGACCGTTTGTAACGCTTTGTGACCAATTGTGACTCGTTGTGATCAATTGTGACTTGAAATTCTAAATTTTTTTTGGAAGTCGGGTATGGGTGGATGGAGTGTGATTTCCAATTTTTAAATTTCTGAAAATCTTTAAGTCGCCGAAGTGATTGCCGAAGCCGATGGCTGTCTCCGGTGGAGAGATGGAGGGAAGATGGTGTAGTTGAATGATAGGATGTGGTAGATGATGTGGCATGAGTGGAAATAATTAATGTATATTATATTATATTTTAATATTTAATAAATCTATTTATCACCTGATTTTTGAAATATTTTAATAAGTTTGTTATTTATGAAATGTGATCTTTAAAAATAGGAATTGTGTATTGTTCCCTTAAAAGAATTTGTATTAGCTGACATTCAAATAGAAAATGTAAGCCCTTAAAACGTATTGTAGCCTCATCATATAAAACATCTTATTTAATGGTCCTGAATTGCATATATACAGTATACTTGGCATCAAAACTGCTATAAAATAAATTAATGTGGTTGGTACGTAGTTATTGGAAAATAAAATAAATTATAGTGTAAGACAAAAATTTGAACTTCTTTGTGGCTGAACTTTGAATGGTGGAAGAGAAATATTTTTCTTTTATCTATAAATTTTGTGGCATGCACGTTTTGGAGGGATTCAAAATTAGCTGACGAGCATTGATAATGTCAATTGAATTGTATTAAAAAAAAAAAAATCAAATAAAATAACTTGTTATTGTATTTTGGCTTGGTTCGATCTATAAATAATTATGTACTAGTAGTATTACCCGTCTGTCACCCTCAATAGGTATATTTTATCAAAACATTAGCCAAATTCCTTCTTGTACATCTCTTTTGCACTCATTCTTGTTCAGACACTTGATTTAACCGTTGAAGTGCAAGCAATTGTTAGATTTTTTCTGGTACGATGATCTATGCATCTTAACTATGTGTCCCAATGTGCAAATGATGTATAGGTGGACACGGAGGTGGCTAGGATCTACTGAATACTCGATCGGATAAAATTAAGGTCAATACTTTTTTGTTTAAAAATCGTAGTATGAGAATTGACAAGATATTCTCGAGATTTTTAATGGTGAAAGAAAAATCAAGGTATTCTCGAATTTTTTTTTCCTTATTTTCATACTATCCAAAACAGTCCAGTCTACCTTACGAAACATGTCATAAAATTTGAAATTTGTGGCCTTGGATCTTTGTATGGTGGAAGGGAAATTTTTTGATTAAAAATGATGGCCATGACAAGATTTTTTTTCGTACGAGTTTAAAAAAAAAAAATCGTAACAATACATGCATATAACAAACATCAGAGACTAGAATTGGGACTTGAGAGGTCCCAAATTTACCTGAAATGAGTGGTGAAAACATGAAATGACAATTGCAGTCGATACAGATTTGAAACAAAATACATGGCTACGTTGAATGTGCATGCAATAACCACTTAAATGCTTTTATTTTTCTTGGATGGAATAAATTTAATGGGTGCTTTCTGGGTTGGATTTGGATAAGACTCCATTTTCACTGATTTCCTGTGGTGGGATTATGTTCACCATATTACTACTGGCTCACAATATGTTAGAACAATAATGAACTTTGGCTTTTGAGCATCATTGGATGCCTCTAGAAAGTAAGTTTAATATTTAATTAATAAAAAAATGGGAAAATTGGAAGCAAATTATCCGAAAGGGCGGAATAGTAGACTCGTCTCGTTCCTTGAACGAGATGACGACGGGCGAAAGGAGATCGGTACTCTTTTTCCTTACCCCAAGGAAAGAGGCAAAACTCCACTATTATGAGGAAGAGTGTCCACTTGACCAACTAGCGAGAGAAAGGAATTCAAATCCCTATTCTTATTGAAGAGAAGGAATGAGAAAAATCGAAATACTCCTACTTGAACAAGAAATCCTATAGTTTACGAATTTGACTTTTTGCTCCGTCTGTTATCATGTAGAAGTATTTTTCATGTATGAATGGATAACAATCAAAATTTAACTCTGATATCATATTAAATTATTTTATCCGAAAGTCTCAATGGAGGATGAAGGTTGGTATAAATGGTAAACAAAATTACATAAAAATATATTGCCAATCATTTATTCTTGAATTTGTTTAAAAGCTACTTTGCCATCAATGGAATGTGACATTCAAATGGCTTTGATTGGTTTAGGCTCTCAGACTTTGAATCCTTTGCATTACTGAAAATTCCCAACAATTTCCCTTTATTTATCTGTTTCAAACTTGAATCTTTGGAAAGACTGCTTCGAAAGATTTAAATAATTTTTCAAAAAGTAGAGTTTGCAAAATAAACAGACAAATTATATAAGCAATAATGAACATTGGGTCAGTGCTTGCGTTACGTAATTAGACTTGATATTTGTTCACAACGTGACAAAATATACTCGAACTCCATTATTTGTTAAAAAAAAAAAAAAAAAAAAANATTATTTTTATTCCATGGCTGGCCATGATTGTGACAAATAAACAGTTCATATAATTTTTAATGAACCGGCACTTATTTGTTGTCTATGAAAGCTACATCAAAGGGGATCCTAAGTATCAATCGTTGCACCAAAGTTACAACATGTGAATATAATAATTAAAGTTAACATCCATACTTTTTTGAGTAACTAATTTTCGATTAGCCCCTGTTTGGTGCACATTTTTTTCTCAAGAATGCATTTTTTTTATGTGATGGAGAATATGTGGTTAAAAAAGAATGAAAAGTTGTTGACGTGATGAAAAATATTATTTTATTAAAGAGTGTGTGGTTGAAAATGAGTAGAAGAATGAGAATGAAAAAATTGCGTGCCTCAAACAGGGGCTAAAAGCATCGGATTGCATGATTCTACATATTTTTGCCTCTTTTAGGAGGTTTAATAGGATTCACAATAAACGGGAACAGTTACTTCAACCTGGTTCTGATTACCAACGTCCCTGGTGCAGGGGATATAGTGCGGGTGAGCATCAAAGGTACAAAAACCCGATGGATGTCCATGAGCCGCA